GTGCAAACACACTAGAAACAGAGAAATAAAAAGAGCAGGGAGCTCTGGGAATACCTCCCCCTCCACAAATCATGTGCTCGCTTCTTTTAACACTTATCCTGCTGTGCCAATAAAAGTCACACAGATGATGTTAATGGCTCCTCTCCTCTACTGCAGCCCCATGAGGTCCTCCACTAAGATGGGCTCTGGTCTTTCAGGCATGCGTAATGCCTCTGCTGGTGTCCCCCTAATCTCTCATAGCGAATATAAGAGAAGTCATGTTGGAGAAGGCCAATGGCCCATTCACTCCAACACTCCGTGTCACACAGTGGCCAAAAACCCAGGTGCCTTCAGGAGGTCCACCAGTGGGGCCAGAACTCCAGAAGCCCTCCTACTGTTGCCCCCCAAGCACCAGGAATACAGAGCATCGCTGCCCCAGACACAAGAGGACACAAGAGAAGCCAATGCTGGATCAGGCCAATGGCCCATCCAGTCCAACACTTCATGTCACACAGTGGCCAAAACCCCAGGTGCCTTCAGGAGGTCCACCAGTGGGGCCAGGACTCCCGAAGTCCTCCCACCAAGAATGCAGAGCATCAGTTGCCCCAGACAGAGTGTTCCACCTATACCTTGTGGCTAACAGCCACTTATGGACCCCTGCTCCATGGATATAGCTATGAATATAGGAACACAGAACAGCAGTTCAGGTTTGCTAACTAACATTCAGGAGATTCAGGTTCACTAATTTTGAGCTAACAAAAGCAAAGATTATGCTTCACAGTCGATTCCAAGGGGTTGGGAAGTGGAAGGGAAGGTGCCAGAGACCAGTTCTGCAATTTCAGAAGAGTGCCGTATGTCTTCCCATTAGTTATTTACATTCTGTCTTCCTTCCCAAAGTGGTTACATTGTTCTCCTCTCCTCCAGTTTATCCTCACAACAGCCCTGTGAGGTAGGTTAGGCTGGAAGCATAGAACTGGCCCAAGGTTACCCAGCAAGCTTCCATGGTAGAGCAGGGATTCAAACCTGGGTCTCCTAGATCTTGGTTCAACACTCTATGCACTATACTACATTGGCTCTTTCTGGGCTTCACTAAGCACAGCTCCCTGTCATTTTTGCCACCCTGAAAACAGGAACACGAGTCACAAAACTGACAGATCCGCTCTCCTTGCCTATTACTGAACAGAACTACTCGATTCTCATTATGCCTAGGAGAACTACATAGACTTTAGGATGCCTAGCCGTTCCCGCAGGATGTCCAAAGGAGATGCATGCTCCTGATGTAGCATAAGGGTTAAAGGCATGAGCTGAGGATCAGGGCAGCGGGCTCAGTGAGGGCTGCCCACTGGCTTGGAGGAAAATGTCCTGTGCCTTTAGTACAGGCTTTGCATGGCATGGAAGTCAATCATGCCTCATTAAGCTTCTAGTAAAGGGACAGGACATTTTACCCCAGGCCAGCTGGGAACCCGGTCCTCAGTCTGAAGGTCTCCGCAAGCTCTGAGCTTAGTAGGTGGCTGCTGACAAGCCCTGATCTCTAAGCCTCAGTTCCCAATCTGCAATTTAAGCGTAAGACTGAGTTGCGCACAGAGCACTTAGAAATAATAATACACTAGAATGTTCAAAGACATATCCCCAAACCCTCTGGCCTCAAGGCTTCGGGGAACAGGGACTGACAGTTATACAAAAGGACCACAAAATGCCACCAGCTGTCCTGGCGTGTGACACAAGGCAAGCCACAGGACCACATCAAGGTGCCCATTCCATGCCCCAATTACAGAAGAAAAAGACCAGGAAAAATGTTCACCATCACCCAAGGGACCACAACCTTTATGCCAGGTGTGGCAGTCAAGCCAACCTTACTTCCTAGTCACCGATGAAGTCTCACGCTGCAGCGTCTGCTCCACAGAGGGGCTAAGTAAATGCCCCTGGCTTTTTGTATCTTCTGCCCAGCAAGGCTTTTTAAAAACAAAACAGAGCGGAGCAGAAGGCAGAGAAAGAGCGTGAGTCTGCAGCAACCCTTCCCGCCATCCATGAGATGCAGCCAGGCACTACTGCAAAAGAATGGGTCACCCTCTGCAGCTGGGTAGCTTTTCCTGTGGCAGAGTCTGCTATAAGGTAGCCTTGCTGCTGGCCAGAATCGAATTTCTCATTGCAAAGAAGAAGAGATTGGATTTATACCCCACCCTTCACTACCTGAAGGAGTCTCAGAGTGGCTTACAAACTCCTTTCCCTTCCACTCCCCTCCCCACAACAGACACCCTGTGAGGTAGGCGGGGCTGAGAGAGCTCTGACAAGAAACTGCTCTTTTTCAAGAACAGCTCTGACAGAACTATGGCTCGCCCAAGGTCATCCAGCAGGTGCAAGTGGAGGAGTGGGAAATCAAACCCGGTTCTCCCAGATTAGAGGCTGCACGCTTAACCACTACACTAAACTGGCTCTCTGTAGGTGTGAAACCCTGCCCTTGCTGAAGGTCCACAATTCCTCACCGGAGATCACCCACCTGGTGACCATTTAGGCTGTGAGCCATTTCACCTGGATGGGCCCACTTTTAAAGCCACCATTCTTTTTGCCACGCCAGCCAGCCTTCTCTGGAGTCACCAGCTTGATCCCCCCCACTGCCATGGTTTTCAGGGGCACCCATCCAATGAACGTGGGCACCCTGCTGCTTATGTGCCACACCATATTCTCACCTGACTGCTTCTTACATCTCTGCAGCTTTGGATGGATATCCGGCCTTCCTAAGCAGAAGAGGCTGAAGAAGAGGGAAAGCGCCTACTTCTCAGCCTCCTCCATAAACTCCAGCTAGGACTGCCAGGTAATAAAAGCAGCCTGTGAGATGATTCACAGAGAGGGAAGCAAAAACTGCTCACTCCTACAATTACATTTAGACCAGGCAGCCAAATCTTCTCATTCATGGCTCTAACCGTGGGGGTGCTGAGAACCTTGCCCTGGACCACTTTCCCCTCGATATTCTGGAGTCGGTTCTCCTGGGAACAGGCCTGAGGCTGTTGGACTGATGACAAGACAAAACGGCTTCACTTTTAATCATTCTACGCGTAACGGCACGGACGGGAGAAGCTCCTCCCAGTGCAAAAGCACAACTAGATCAAGGGACGCAGTACCTGCCAAACGTCCTCCCATCTGTGCAGCTATTAAAAGGCACACCCAGGACCGAATCACGCAACCCCCAAACTCCCGCTGGCTGCTGACATGACTGGAGAAATGCATGCTGGAGCCTGCCATTTCCCACGGCTGCCCTTCGCCCAGGTTACCCGTGGAAGGGGCTTGTTTATGAAGTCCTGGAGGGGCCATTGGTGGTTGTGTATGTGCAGGCACACATACGCACACCCGCACCCCTGCCCTCCCAAGCCTGCTTCAGAAGGGCTCGGGCTCCCTTGCCCTCTGGGAATGGAACAAGCTGCGGCTGCCAAGGAGCTGATGGAGCTGCCAAAGCTGCCGAGCCAGCAGGGCAACATTTCAGCCCTCTCCAACAGGCCTGGGCAGCGCTTCCAGCCGGCTGCCGCTCCTACCCAGAGCACAACAGCAGAGAGGTGGGGCAGCACCACACACGAGCTCTCAACCGAGCTCAACCGTCAGAGGACGATCAACAGGGTAGAAGGCAAACCACCCACGAAACAGCAAGGAGGAAGTGGTTTGGCTTATGCTTGCAGAAACATCGGACTAAGGACATGTCACGACTGTGCTGAGACATCTGAAAAAGTGTCAGAAAAGAGAGAATCGGGGTTTGTCCTTATCCAGTGCGGTGAAAAGCTGCTGTAACGCGTAGGAGCAAAAGGGAAACGGTGTGCTTCCTTGCCAAACGCGTCACATGGCCTTTTTCCTTAAGGAGAGGCTGGCCTCCTACCCAACCCCTATCTTTCTGCCTTCCTCTAAAAGTCGTTAGGTAGCACATATCCTTGGGCCAATGTTGACTTTGGCTGAAGAAGGAGATAAGATGCAATTGTCCCCAGCATTCTTCGGAGGAATGAGGCAACCTGTACTCAATTTCGTTTGGCCACAACCAATGCTCCCTCTAAGCTGTGGGGTCTTGTGAGCAAAAATTCTGCTTTGCAAGCTACTGGCATTAAAGTTGTGAGCGAGCCATTTGGCTACTGCGTAAATTAGTTTGCTCTGGAGCCATCCTTCCTGAGCTAAGATAAAAATGTGTGAGCTGGAGCCTAAAAAACTGTGAGCTGGCTCACACTAATTCAGCTTAGAGGGAACACTGACCACAACAATTTATTTAACGATCCCCGTCCAATAGAAAAGAGCAAGTGTCCAGTAGCACCTTAAAGACTAACCAAATTTGTGGCAGGGTGTGAGCTTTTGTGAGTCACTGCTCATTTTGAGCAGTGTCGTAGAAGCCATTGGGTTAGTCTTTAAGGTGCTACTGGACTCTTGCTCTTTTCTACTGCTATGGACAGACTAACACAGCTACCCATCTTGATCAATCCCCCTCCATATCTCTCTTCTTCCATAATAATAATAATAATTATTATTATTATTATCATATGGCCTTATGTGTAGAATAGCCAGGAGATCCTAAGATTGTCTGTCAGCCAGGAATTCTAGCTCTTTTAGCTTTATGCACCACTAGGTGGCAAGCTAGAGTTTTTTAAAGGCAAGAGACATTTCAGAGGTGGTTTGCCATTGCCTGCCCCTGCATCACGACGGTGGTACTCCTTGGAGGTCACCCTTCCAAATACTAGCCAAGGCCGACCCTGCTTAGCTTCTGAGATCTGACGGGATTGGGCTAGCCTGGGCTATCTAGGTCAGGGCTCTTCTTCCATAACCCTACGCATTGCCCACTTTCACGCAACTAATAACAAACTGAAAATTTGCTCTCTGTACCATCAACACACAATTTCATCCAGGTTACTTGTCTCCTGCCATTCCAGTAAACCTAAGTTTCCAAGGCCAATGTACTTTTTTAGAGTACATCCCCCAGTTCTCCATGTTTGAGGAAAGTATGTGGCTATATTCCAGACTTCTGCATTTGAAAGGGGAGGGAGGGGGGATATGTGAAAAGAATCAACGGAGGGTTCTCTCACACAAAAAGGGTGACTTCTCACCTTACATTTTTAGGTGTCCTCAGATATTTTAAGCATGCACTAAAAATAAAAAGTGTGACTGATAAGCTCTGTTTGCAAACAGCTGTATCATATAGATACGATCGCTGTGTGTGTACACAAACCGACAAACTTGGCTTTTTGCCCCCACATGATGTGTAGAATGGCCCTGAGGGTGGGGAGGATGAATGGGCTAGTCAAACTGATTAGTGTGCCTGGCAAGAGCCGAAGAAGAATGCATGCACATGCTCCTTCTCCAGCAGAACATGGCTTAGTTCATTGGCCTGGGTTTCCCACAGGAGTACCTTTCATCCTTGCAGTCTAGAACACATGGGCTGGATCCTACCGATCCTACCTACTAGCAGTGGGGCTTTCTGCTGGTGCAAGTGCTGCTGCTGACAGAAGAAATTTCTGGGATCCAGCCCCAAAAACTGATGTACAGCAAGCTGATGGATGCTTCTGACTTGTGACAGGAGAAGTGACGGGGTTCCAACCCTATTGTTCTGTCTAGATACCCTTGAGAGAGGGCATAAGAGGGGAGGGGGGGAAAGACTCTGCGTGGGTGATTAAACATCTGCTATCTGCTTGTTATTGCTCAAATCCTCACGCTTCTCTCGAGGGGTGGGTTTGGTTACATATTCACCAGCAGCTTATTTTTTTTCCTTCTTACCCCAAGGGGAGCACTCAATTAAGAGAGATCCAGACAGAAGGCAGACTCCATTGCCACCTAGTTTCTCCCAAAGGGTTACAGAACCATCTGCAGTTTAAAACAAAACACCTACTTTCTTTATAGGTGAAGGTTTCCCTTGCTCGAAAGCCAGTCGAATCCGACTCTAGGGATGTGGTGCTCATCTCCGTTTCCAAGCCAAAGACATTTCCATGGTCATGTGGCCAGCATGATTAGACACCAAGGTACACAGAACGCTGTTACCTTCCCTCCAAAGCGGTACTTATTTATCTACTTGCAATTTCTTGCTTTCGAACTGCTAGGTTGGCAGGAGCTGGGACCAGAGACGGGAACTCACTCTGTCATGTGGCACTCGGGTCTCGAACTGCTCAACTATCGACCTTTCGGTCTGCAGTTTAGCCTCTTAACCACTTGAGCCACTGCAGCCCCTTCATACACAGTCCTATTTACAGCAGACCCCTAGGCCTGTCCTCCTGTCTCAGAATACTGCCCGAGTCCCTTCCTGGTCACAAACCCATCAGGGACACAAGTAACCAAAAACTCACCCAGCCCATTCTCCTCCAGTATTAAACAAACACACCCCAATATATATAATCTTAAGCGCATAGCATGAGACGCATGGAGTTGCTGCCGCCTAACAACAGTACTTGCAAATACTGGTCAGAAGCAAAGCAGAGGATAAGGGATCTAGAGGGGGCAAAGGGAAAAAATTACCCCTATATCAGGGACAATGCATATTTTCTGCCCCAAGTAAATCATTGTTCTACTTATAAGGATTGTTAGCACACAATGCTAGAGTTCTTCAGGTTTCAAGGCTCCTCCCCTAGGAGTTACATTTGAGGGGAGAGGGATTATTTATTTATCATATTGGCAAGGGGAGAAGAGAATTAGCCTTGATGCTAGAGTTAAATGTGAGTGTTCATGCATGCACACGGGACGCAAAATTCCAGTTAGCTGCTGTTCTTCCCGCGGAACGACCATAACCCAAGGAGGAAGCACTGTTGAATGGGAGAAGGAAAATAACTGCACAGACAAGATGCTGTAAAGTTCACCTCCATGCTAGAAAGGAGATGGGTGGGGTGGGGGTGGGGTCTAAGGATGGGATTCTCACAAATTAGGACACATCAATCTCCAGTTCTAACATATTTATTACCTATGTTGTCCCCCCCCCACACACACACACAATTGAACCGAAACAGATAACCAGAAACCGAGCTTGTCATTCTTATATATATATATTCTTATATATGTAATTCCATTTCATCGTCTGACGAAGTGTGCATGCACACGGAAGCTCACATCTTGAATAAAAATCTGTTGGTCTTAAAGGTGCCATTGGACTCTAACTCTGTTGTACTGCTTTAGACCAACACGGCTGCCCACCTTGATCTAGCAAGATGAATGGTTTGAGATCAGTCACTGACCAGGGAAATGGAGCTCAGAAACCCAAATAGCAGAGCAAAAAGCACGAAAGTTAATGGAAGGAATCAAGAGAACAAAAATGCATAAGTTTAGAGAAATGGAATTAAAATTTTATACCAAATGGTACAGAACTCCGGCCACTCTAGCAAATATGTTCCCAGGCTTAAGTCCAAATTGTTGGCACTGCAAAAGTGCGAAGGGATGGTATTCCCATATGTGGTGGGAATGCCCAGAGGCTAAAAATTTTTGGAATAAAATACTAAAAGTCATAAATAAGCTTTTTAAGGTGAAACTAAATATAGATTTTGAGCTAATGATGATAGGTACTCTAGGTAGTGAGAAAATAGAGAAAAATAGTCAAGATCTATTGAGAGCAATGATATTAGCTGGGAAAGCAGTAATAGCACTAGGGTGGAAAGATAAAAGTAAATGGACGGAAAAAGCTTGGAATAACTATCTGTTCGATTTTGTCCAGTCAGATATAGCGGCCACGTTGATACAAGACCTAACATGGGAAGATAGGATGAAAAAGATTAAGAAGAAATGGTCGCCCTATCTGCAGTGGATTAAAGAAGAAAAGAAAGAAGACGCCCAGCGGAAGCTAC